AAGAGAGTGGCATATTTTAAGAAACTGTACTGTAATTTGCCTAAAAGATGCATTAGCACACAGCAAACCTACATGGTCTCTGAATGTGAAGTGATAGGTTGTTCGACTGTTGATTCAGTTTCAGTCATAGATTATATAGCATCAAACAGAATGAAAAGATTATTATGAATGAGACAGTCATGTACTCTTTGACTACTACCTTGTGATATGTTTGAACAGATAGAGGAAAACCATTAAGAATCACAGGTACCTTCTCATATAGTTCTAGGTTATGCTGCTATCATTTACTCTGTGAGAAGCACATATATAACCATTTTATGACAATGTACAATAAATAATATTATCAATGGTTTCTTTGATTCTATGAATAAAAGAAGAAATTGTCAGAGTTCTTTATTGAGTCATACAATTATCTCACACTTCTTATTGTTTAGTATTCATGGTAAATTCATTTAATTTGTAGATGGAAAATCAAACTGATGTTATTGTTTGAGCTAATGTGATTCCATGCCAACTTTCTGTATCATTGTGGTTATGTTTGACATTAAAGAATAAGGCCAGTGTTTGATGATATCCAGCTCAGGTAGCTGGTTACCCTGGTGAAAGCAGCAGGGTAACCCCTCTGGCAACCTGCTGAAGAACCAAATGACACAATGCCAACCTGGGTGTAGCGACCATCACTCTCCAGATATGTAAGTGCACCACCACTGTCTCCCTGCAACACAAAACAAATTCAGTGCTGATGTGTGAAAACTTCTATTTGATGTTAGAGTTGCCAATGCAGAGGCCCTTTTTGTGATTACTTAGATATTACAGGCGGGTGGTAACCGTATTTAAAGTTTTGGTTAAAAGTATTGGACCTCTTTTTGTGAATATTTAATTATAGAAATGGAAATAAGAATCATTTTATAGGTTTTATATCAATATGGTATGCAGGCAGCCATCATCATCTACTGACATTTTTATCGGGATGGGCTATAGTTTGACAATTTCTCCTCAATTCTTGCCTGTTCTATTTGCAACTTCCAATATTTATTGTAAGTATTAAATTTCTGTTTCACTTATTGACAATTACAAAGAATAGGTGACTCAAATTTAAACAACTGATTATTGTGTTTGGAAGCCACAAAACACTAAGCATTTATATTTACTTTTGTACGTTTGTATATAGGTTACAGAATGGTAGATGGTAGTTATCTTATGATTTTCATCATTAAATCCAGTTTCCATTAACAAAGGCCAGCTATAACTCAAAATTGGTGTCTTCATTTTGGACTTAAGAAAACTACATATAGTTAAAACACTTACATTGCAGGTGCTCTGGCCATTGGGGGTTGAAACACAGATCTTTGTGGCAGTGATGATATTACCATAAGTGTTTGCACACACTGTGTTGGTGATGACTGTCAAGTCCACATAGTTAAGTGTGGTGCTAATACTGTTAGAACCTGAAAAATGTAACAGTTATTAACAATATAAGATTTGAATTACAATAAATACTACATGATTTTGCATTTATCAAGAGAAACCAGGAAAGTAATTTGAGATATTTGAGACTTATATAGAATATTATGTATTGTTGGCGCAGTGGCCACGCGGTCTGAGGCATGGACCTCGTGCGCCTGGCCGCTGTGACTGTGGGTTCGAGTCCCACTCAAGGCATGGATGTCTGTCCGCGTCTTTCTGTATTTGTATAGGTAGAAGCCTTGCAGATAGGGCTGATCACTCATGCAAGGAATTCTACCAATGTCCAAAAAGTAGATCAATCATAAACCTCCAAGAGAGGTAAAAACGCAGATTGCAAATGTGGAACAAATGCGAACGAAAAAAAGAAAAATAGAATATTATTTATGAAGCTAATAATTTTGCAAAGCAATATAACAACATTATGAAAAAATCAGTAATAAAATAACGTATTTACTAAATGTATATTAAGTGACCTTTCTTTGCAGTTTATGTGCTGATGAAATTTCAATTATAAAAGCATTTCTGGTCAAGAAATTAGACTGCAACAAATCCTATAATGTGATGTTTGTTAGGTTATTTCTATTCATTTTGCTACACATAATTAATGTTTAAACCACTTATAATGCTGAACAATTTATATAATTAATAAATATGCATAATTTGGATACATTTATAATGACTGAGAATTTTTTCTGCAGCCATAAGTTCTTCCTGTTTGTAATGATCCACATACATTTTTAAAATTAAATACTGAAATAATAAAATGCTATACTAACTGTCAGAAGTTTTGCCCCATCCACTGACACGCGTACTTTCACCAGCAAGGTCTGAATTCAAATTGCGAAGTCTCACAGGGCTGATGTATGCTGAAATATTAAAGGATTCATTTTTTCTCAGAGAATCAAAAATAAGTGTTAAATGTATATTAATATAAATAATATTTCATATACACAGAAGTCTCCAGGGTAATTCAGTCTTTAACTTCCTTGTCATGTCCACTGCTGCAAATTAAACTGTGCCAGAATTTCCAAGCTATATTATAAAAACTGAATAACACTCAATTAAAATCATCCATTAAATTAAGTTATCTTAAACAAAAAACACCAGGTTTTTGAAGTCCATAGTTCTAATATCTTTAATAATGTTATTCTCCTATAGCAGTAAGTTTATCTTAAATCCAGATGAGTTCAAATACCCTGCCTTTCTCCTACCATGTTATATTCTAGAATGTTGCAGTTTTAACTAAGATGATTACTGAGAGTTAATGATAGTGGTAACACCACGATAAATGCAAGACAGATGAATTAAATTTCTAGGGAAGGCCCCAGCTTTAGATATGGTTTCTAACAAAGGAATCTTTCTGTTGTATTTATTATGTAGAAAAACACTCACTGCTGAGGCTAACAGCTGCGGTAAGCCGGATGACTGCAATGTCATTGTTGATGGTGTTTTCATTGTAGCTGCCATGGACAATGCTGTTTCTTGAATTGACTACCACTGCGCCACTCTCAATACTATCAACTCGATTAGCTCCCAGTCTCAGTTCGTATGTGCTTCCACTGAAACAATTATATATTGCCAACATCACAGTAATTAAAGTTATAAACTACAGGGCTAGTGTTCAATCCCCAAAGAATTTTTCCTCTAGCCTCTGCGTCAAAACCAGCCCTGGGGTCTACACAGCCTCCTACGCCTCCTATGGGGGTAAAGCACGGTCAGGGCATGATGCTGACCATTCACCCCATCTAGTGCAAGGGTCAAGAATGAGTAGGAGCTATATCTCCACTCCCCCCAAGCGCCTATATGGCATGTAGCAGGACTGCTGTTCTTTAACTTTACTTTCAAAAATAGAAATGGGACATAATTCAAAAGACAAAGCACCCAAAAACCCATATTTACAAAAACTATTTTTGCTGTTTTGCATCTAGCATCCACTAGAACGGTAATGTATATCTTAGAAACACCACATATATTAATCTTTTATATATATTTTGTGTGATGAGGAATTTTTAAAAAGTGGAAAGAACACATCTATATATTATATAGTAGTTTGTGTGGATAATCTTAAAAATTTAAATAAAACAAAAATAATAAAATATTCAAGTGCTTCAGAGTTGTTGCTGGCATAAGTTATTTTGTTATTTCTAGTAATTTCTATTTATATTTTACATGTGCATGTTTCCATATTCTATTTTAATATAGAAAAATATGTGAATAAAAGAATATTACTGTCTATACTTACGCACAATGTGCAGCAGTTAGGACCCATAGTTCATCAATGAGAGAACCACCACAAAAATAAGCATCATCAATTATGAGGGCAACTTGCCACGGAAACTGACCACGACTTGCGGTACTACCTCCAGTGATACGGTGTTTATCATCCAGAGGCACATGGACCTTTCCGGCAAAGTCTGCATGAAAAATAAGACATTTTAATATTTCAATGGAAATCAGTATGTGAGGGTAATCATTAAAATATGTGACATTGAGACAATCCATATGAGCAACTGATTGTCTTCTTAGATAAAGAAAAAATGTTAAGTAACTCATTACCTGGTTGTGGTTTGGTGCCCTTCTTGTAACCGGTGTTATTTTCAGGGCTTGATGTCTGTGCTGCCATAATTTCACGCCATTCTTGTGCTGTGTATTTTGGGTTAACAGGCATCACAATATCACGGGTTTTCAAGTGCCCCAGGTTGGCCTCAGCCTGCTCAAGCAACACAGATGTGATTATTTGTTTATCTGCACTACAATCTCAACAAATTTCATCTTTCATCAGACGCTGAGCACAACGAATTAGTAACTTTTTTAATAGATAATGAGAATTATGAATTGATAATGCTTTTGAATTTTAAAGTATGAACTGACAACAACTTTTTGGATAATAAGTGATTTAAATGTGGTCCATACTGTAATATCCCTTAAACCTTTAGTATACACTTGAACATTTTCTGCCATCTACAACTAGGTCTCCCAAGCTATCTCTTTAATTCATCCATTCCAACTAAAATATTGTGCTCATCTCATCGTCATTGAGTTTATCACCCTAAAAATGGTTACCCGTAACTTAACTGTACAAAACTACAAGAAATCAGTAATTTGTGTTTGATTATTGAAAGATTTCATTCATCTAGTAATTCTCAAATTATGAGTTTTGCCTCTTGTCATTCATATAGCCTATATAATAATCCATTATTTGTTTAGAAAGGCTAAGTATAACAATAAATATCTCAGTAAATTTAGTACATCTCAGTGTCAAAATATTAGTTTGTAGCCTCACTGTAACTACATGAAGCAGGAGTGCTAACCACTGCACCACAATGCTGAGATAGGAAATATAAATTATAAAGAGAGGTATTTAAATGCACTTAAAAACAAAGATATCAGATACACTGTTGAATGGAATTGCTGGATACTGATCCAAAGTATATAATGAACATATGAAGCTGTCATCAAAGGAAGATAAAAATTATTGTTTCAAACTGATCATAACTTACCAAAAGGCCAAGTGTTGCCAGGAAAGCCACAGCTAGGAATGCCTTCATTGCTGTCCACAGAAGAAACGAAGAATACTGTATTAAACCTGATATTCCAATTTATACCAAAAATCTGTTACTGTAATCACAAAAATCTAATATAAAAAAAAGCACTTAAGATATACCTGACATTGATTCATCATGTCTTGCCATTGCTGTAATCTGTAAATGATAATAGCATTATAGTACAGTAGGTTAAAGATTTATTTTAAATAGACATAATCTTTAACTATATATACTCTTGGTTTGAGATACTGATAACGTTAAATGATACCTACTTCAACAAAGGAGATCACAGGTCAGCATGGGAAATACCACTGTAAAGTGACTTTCACTTCGCAAAATTCCAAGTGGTATGTCACATGATGAAGCATGAAATTAAAGTGTCCTAAAAATAAAACAAGATCACCCTTAACAGTATTTGGTGAAGACTACAAGTGATGAGGCTCTTCTTTAAATAATTTTCTTCAGCATCCACTTTCTGACGTCCATGTTCCTTTTTCTCAGCATCCTGTTTTTAAACACTGTCATCCTCTCTTCTTCCCTTAACGTGAGATGGTCTTCATCCTGAGCCAGATGAATCTGTTTTTAGATAAGAATGGAAATAGTAAATTAAAATGAGGCTACAACCACCATCTCATGCATTATTCACAATCACACCATCACTTTTAGTAAACCATTGTAGTTGACATGGAACCATTAAATAAGCCAATAATGAAAGATATTAAACCCTTTAACACTGAACCTCACCTAAATAATTTTTCAGAATTCAGTCTGTGCTCCAGAGAAAACACAACACTTTTACTTTACATAGATCATCTGGTTAATGCTATTTAAGGAAGTAATAGCTGTTTACACTGAAATCATTTGAAATCAACAAATACAAAAGGCAGAGTTATTGAATGTTAAAACAAGTGGAACATATAGTTATCATTAGGCTTTAAATGGTTAGTGTGGACAAAACATGGAGAACAGACAAGTGCATCATTCTTCAACCGGTTGCTTTTGTTAGGTATAAATATTCAGTATGATGACTGATTTCTAAGAGTACATATTCTTAGTTCAGCTAGCCAATGCATCAACTTCAGAAGAAGAAAAATGTTAAAAATAAACTGAAGTTTCATTTTTAAATAGATGAATGTTTCACTAATCCTACAAAGATTATAAGCAGAGCTGAAAAAGGGCACAGATGCAGGAAGGTACTGTCTGCTTGATTTCATAGCACTTTTTAATAAAGTTATTTTAAAAGTCTGTAGTCAACTATTATTCCGAAGACTGTGGAATTATATTAATGATAGAAAACTGATGGAATCAGAAAAACCTGTACCACTGCCATTTTATCTATCACAAATCCACATGGTCTGCCCTGGAAGTAAATATGATATGTCTTGGTCATTTCGCTGGTATGGAGCATCTAACTAGTTCTGAAAAGCAATTTCCACCCATTTAGAAGTACTGTTTCAGATCTGGCCATACTCTGTTTTGGTATTCTTTTGTTATTCTTTGATACATTGTTTCCAGTTAGTTCGGTAATACTGTATATATATCATGGTCTCTGGTAGGAGAATATGAAGATTTGAAACTGCTTATCCCAAATGAACACTTCGATAAACTTTCGGTTTCTATAGTCAGGAAATTTCTTGACAAGTCACTATTAATAATATAAATTAATCAACACAATGGACAAAGTTAAAAGGAGTTTTTCAATTCTACTCTAAACATTTCCTTAACATAAGGGATCATATAAAATAGGAAACAAATAATAGTTTTGCATATTTTAATCGAAATATTTTTAGGTAGCAGACAGAAGGAAAAAAATTCTGAACTGCATGGTAGCAAGCATTCCCTAAATTGTGGGTCTCCTCTTAACTTCCTCATGAATGCAATTTTGGTTTGGTACTATCATTCCCAAATATTTTAACTTTACCACATTTTTAGGTGATTTAATAGCTGCAGTCAAATAAAAAGTTTAAAAATAATATACCCAGTTATATCTAGAAGTGTCCATGATCACATTAGCTCAGCCCTGTGGAGGAGAGATTGCATTTTCTAAAGACAAATAAAAATTCTTAAGAATTTTTTTTTGTGACACTAAAACAGGAGAAAATCAGGTCTCCAAACTGTGACTTTTTCCATATTAAGGCAATTCTACAACAACAAATTGAAGGCAGAATACTTCATCTGTGATAACTACGAACTGAACATCAAAGACAGGAAGAAGGCTAGAGATTTTCCTGTAAGCATAGTACATGCATTACTTCTTACAGCAGAACAAATGTAGCCAGGAGGTCAGTAAAATAATGAAGTAAATACACAATGATACAGTTTATTGTCATTAGAAATGTTATTGGTTAAATGGGATAGACATTCACAAATTGACATCTTCTTTCTACAGCTATTGCTTCCTTGTGACCTAGAGTCTACACTTGTCTAACCCAATGCCTTGGCCATATTTTATCCATTAAATTATATATAATAAGTACATATGTTGTGAAAGGACAAGAGATTACACATATAAGAACTTTATTTGGTGATTATATACATATTTATCACTGTTTTTTTTTTCATGCCAGGACCAATTTGTATTCCTTTCATATCACCAGGTGTACAAATTTATATCAATTAACGAATATGGATATCAGTGTTTTCCTCAATCCAGTCCAGGTAACTGGTGACTCTGGTGAAAGCAACAGGGTATCCCAACTCGCAACCACCGATGTGACCAAAAGAAACGACGCCAATCTCAGTATAACGGCCATCATCTTCCTGGAATACTAGTGGCCCACCACTGTCACCCTGGAGAAAAATACAGAAATAAGAGAACAAGACACAATTACTGGGTACACGGTTCCTTTATTGCCTACCATTAGATTCATTTCAATAATTAAAAGGCAAAGCTATTCCTATTACTACACACAATGCCATGAATATATATAGGGGTATGTAAAGTTACAGTCTCACACATATTAAACTTGGCCCTTGATTTAGGTGAGTGGTTAATAACTACCTACACTACATTTCTTGCTTAAAATACTGCTGCTGCCACCACCAGTGTACATACATATTTATTCTTGTGTGTCTGAAATTTAGGACAGACTGGGACAGCATAAATATAATTCTGCTGTGCATGTGAGAATTCTTTCCATGCACAACATTAAATAAACCATGCCAGCATTACAATTCAGATCATAATTAATAATCTCAATGTCATTTAAACTCAAAATCACATGCAGTTGTTTGCATAAAATTAAGGAGAACCAGTTTGGTTCTGGTGAATTGCTTACATTGCAAGGGCTTTTATAATCAATTGTTGAGACACATATCTTGGCGTCAGTTATAATATCAAAAGTTGTCGCACATAGATCGTTACTTATAACTGATAAATCCACATACTGAAGTGTGCTGGAAATATCTGGAGATGCTGCAAAAGACATAAACAAAATGTATTTAATATTCTACAAAAAGTCAAGAGTTAATTATTTACTACAGAGTAACAATCACATACTACAGTACAGAAATGACAATAGAAACAGGTCCATCCCCATGTAACTTTCCCTCTCAACCTCCCTCATGAAACCAGAGTCAAGGTCACCCTCGTTGCTAGGCCATGGTACAAATAATCACTTGTTAGTTGGTAATCAATCACATGATCAAGGCAGTCCCTATTTTTAAGAATAATGAAGTTTAACCATCGTGTTCACTATAATCCTACCATATCCTAAACTAATAAAATTAAGCTCACATAATACTCTTCTAAGTTTTCTTTAAATATTATCTTCCAAATAATGTCAAAGGTTCCCTAGAGACCTCCTTCCTCTTCATCCAAATTATATTATTTCTGTCTCGTAATGCATTCTATATGCTCTATCCATCACACCCTTCTAGATTTAATCATCCCAACAATATTATGTACTGAACAGAAATTATTAAAGCTCATCAGGTGCTACAATACACTCACGATCAGAAATCTTGCCCCATCCGCTGCATTGGACTTTCTCATTGAGAAAGGTTAGCTTTGCTTGAGAGCGAGTGGGCAGTCTCACTGGGATGATGTAAACTGAAACATTTCATAAATTGGTTCAAAATTACGCATTAAACCAAAATTATGTTAGGTATTGAGAACTGTGTGCAATATATTTAAATTTAAATGATGTTGGAACTTGCTGTACTCCCATTTTCTTCTGGTTGATAATAATAATATTAATAAATACTTATTTTTTTATATTAATGGCAGCTTTCAAGATTCAGCTCTGAACCGTTACAATATTATCTTTTATTGTACAGGAACAGAAGATTCAATACTTGTATTACAGGGTTCTAGACAGTAATTAAACTTCAGGATTAATGGTATGTTACTGTGAAGCATGGTACCAGCATCTTGCATTCCAACATCTGTACCATCAGGGTCTACTTACGGGTGAAATCTACAGGTTGTGGCAACCTGATTACAGCAATATCATTGTCGATTGTGGACTGATTGTATTCGCTGTGCACGAAACTAGTACGTGATGAGAGAAACTGTGAACCCCTCTCTGTAATATCCACACGGTTAGCTCCAAGTGCCACATCAAATGAAGCAAAATTGAAACTAAAATATCAATATAACATAATTTATAATAAACCATTTCGGAAGTAGGGAATTACTTTTAATTAAACCTTTCGTGGGGCTACTTTGAAAGTTATTGTCTTTCTGATCCTCTTTTGTGATGACAATATACATTCTCTATATGAAATATGTGAAAATAAAAATTGACAAAAAGCCATGTTATTATGAATATGCATATGAACATTATCACGGGAAGGATTAATTTCCTTTACCATTAGATTATATTTTTTCAGATCTAGGGTTATAACAAATATTTATGTAGGCCATTATCTCACCAATACCAACAGTAAAAGTTTTATAAACAACATAAATGAATGGACAAACATAAATTTCTGATTATTTTTTCATTTTAAGTACTTCACGAAAAAAGATGTCTGTCTTCTGGGTTGAAGTGCTGTGTTGTCTGGTAGAAGTTTACCAACGTTTTAGATGTCCTTGCCGCCTCTATCATCAGGGCAACGAGCGAATATATCTAAAACATTGTTAAATTTCTACCAAACTACATGGTGCTACAACCCATAAGACAGCCATCTTTGTACTCACTGCTGCAAAAATCTAAAATCCTATTTTATGTAAAAAAGTGTTAAGAACATTCGATACTGTATTCATTCGGAACATAAAGAAAATAACTTCCAATGTAGAAAGAAACTGTGACAACAGAAATAAAAGACATGAAAAATATGAAACATCTTAAATAATAGAAAAATCTCAAAATGCATTTATATCCTTTAAAACTGTGATTACCAACTTTATCAATAACTGGATCCAAGAGCAAATTATTTTAAACAGTAGCACACAGAAAAAAATAAACTGTGTGAGTAATTTTCAGGGATCCTGCAGGACCTGTTGGGCAGTGAGGTACTCACGTGCAATGTGCAGCAGTGAGGACCCACTTATCAGATATGAGAGAACCACCACAGAAATAGGCTTCGTCAATTATAAGATAGACCTGCCATGGGAACTGGCTGCGGCTTGCAGTGTAACCATTGGTAATGCGACCTGCGTCTGGCACATAAACTTTCTCAGAAAAATCTGCTGAAAACACAAACTTATTTCAACATATCCTGTACAAAACTAAGGCACATTTCACAAAAGTATTTATTCTATTGAAAATCAGAGAACAGGAACTTAACTTCTCTCCAATTATGAGACTTTGGTGGATTTATTGATGGATTGATTAATAGATTTGTAGTTGGCACAGTTGCATTCATTATATGTGACTGCTAACACATGAAAAAATTCAAATCAAGATTTTATCTATACTTCAAACTAACAGCGTAATTTTCATCACACCAGATGTAATTGCAATTCCTCTATGATTAACGTACATTTATTGCATTTAATAGAGATAATTCTTTCACATTAGACGGGTGTCTCCATGACAGTCTGCAGACACTTGTTCTGGTGGTAAACAAAATAAACCTGAGGATAAGATTAAAGAATATTTGGCAAGGGAATTTGGTATATAAAACTGCATACATTCCATTCAGTCTAGCTGTGACTGTGGGTTACACCACATATAAAGGGACTCGGAAATAAAAGTAAATATGCCAGTATCTATTATCAAGCTGTGCGTACCATATCAAAAACTTTAGTCCAGTCAATGTTTCAAGGACTCGCTACTTACGCTTCCGATATCCAACTTAAAAACTAAAACTCAAATGTAATGAATGTTATTAGGCCTGTATATCTGGGTGAGCATTATCTGCCAGGAAGTCTGTTTTTAACTTACACTGGGCTACGCGAAAATGAAAGTTGGCGACAAGTTGTCACTTCTGGAACCCACACCATTATTCAGTCTTTGAGTTGGAGCAAACACCCCTCCCCGTGCTCGATTTGTCACTTCTGGAACCCACACCATTATGCAGTCTTTGAGTTGGAGCAAACATCCCTCCCCGTGCTCGAAGCTTTGCCATCAAGTATCAGTTTTACCATACCAATGAGCACATAATAAACAAAACAGAAACAACAATTGGGAATAAATGAATTATCAGCAATTAATTCACTGTTTAGTTATTGCATTCCGGACCTTCTAGCGATATGAAGTTACTTGAGCGCGCACACGCTAGCCAAACTGACAGCAGAGCGAACTGTTCCAACAGATGGAGTGCTTCCTAATGCTGATGGAATATTTTAAAACGTGAAAAACAAAATAAAGCTCGCAAAGTGTAGAATAATTTTTGAAAACATCGATCCATTTAATTTAGTCATAAAATTAAAGTGGTCTGTAGACATTTAATTATTTTTGTATTTAAAATTTCTGAACGCGTAACAAATATAGTCCTCATCCCTGTGAGATATGTCAAAGTCAAATGATAACATTCCAGGCCTTATCATTGTTAACACTGTAACTCATACAAAAAAGGAACAAAGTCATTTTACAAAACATGAAATAAATCTGGGAACTTTCTTCAATAAATGAAGTTCCAAATATCCCAACACTGACAAGTGCACACCACAACGTAACCCGATGAGAATATCTGGATTTTGTATGGACAGGTAAAAACAATCTATTTTTCACATAACCGTATAAACGAAAATGTAATTCATCAGAAAATCATAATCTGTTAAAAATATCTTTGCTTCATCACGAAGGAAGTCTGACGACTCGTTGCAAAACAGAAAAAAGCCAGTTAATTGTTGAGATAACTAACTATTTTGTAAGCTTGTGCTGATAAGTCAAATCGGATTTTCTTCATCGTGCTTTAGCTCAGATTCATTTGTTCTGAAAGATGTCGCAAATCTTAGAACTGCTCAATAATGTTTGGCCTCACATCTGGCGACCAGTACTACCTCACCGCTGAGCAGGTAGGCTCATCAACATTACTTTTTGTTGGTGCTTTGCGTGAACTTGTCTGCGGTCTAAACAGATACTTCCTACTTTCGTAGCTCTCTTTCACAACAAAACTTTGCTGTACATTGTGGGTTTCCATGATGTTTCAAGTTAAAATGGCGCCGTTCCAATACGACCAATACAAAATAAAAATATGTATCTGGCGTCCTAAATTTTAAGTTTCTGGACTTCATCGGTACCAATACAAACTAAAATTGTTTGATCAATAAAAAGAATCACAGAAGAACAATAATGATGATGTGTATGATGACATTTTCACGGCAATGCGAATATATACTTGGTGGTCTTCTGGCCTGATGAGTATTTTGAACGCCACCGTTTTGGAGAAAGATAAAAGTTAATATATTCAGGACAATATGGAGACGGTATGATTAGCCAAGTATTTCAAACTAAACCAGCAGTCTCCGGAAGTTCGAAGCAAAAGTGTGGACATGTAAACACAGCATTACCTGTTTGGGCTTTTGTGACGTTCTTAGGTGCAGGGAAAAGTACAGTGCTTGATTTTTGTGCCTTGTGTGCTGGGTTCGCAGACATCACGACATTGAGGGGTCGGATGCCTTCCAGTCCGGCCTGAGCCTGTTAAAGTGACAGTAAGTCATTTGGAAGAAAACAAAATCACTGAATTCTGTAAAAAGCAACATGTTTCGTTTTCAGAATCTACACTCGTTTAAAAGAATTAATTCTCTTTTAGAACTTCCCCTTGATACCACAAACGTCTACGCACATTAAATTTCAATCATCACCAAGGGTTTGACTGTTTTATGCGTCTTTTAAACAAAAACATGGGAGCTAATTTTCCTCCTACTAGAAGTTCTCATTCTTGGAAGTACTGAACGGATATTTATTAAGTTTGATATTAGGGCAGATCAACACTACAACCGGTCGGGTAAACTTTGTTGCTTTATATGGGTCCAATATAACCAGAATTGCATTAGCAGTTCGGGTTGGAACGTTGGACCGGAATAATCTGGCACAGGATACGGATTAGTGTTGAGTTCTTGTGATTCTTCGTGTTCCATAACAGCCGGAGTATATTTTGACTAGCGGAGCGCACTGTTAGCTTTTCAAAAATGACTCTGCTCTATGAAGTTATTTACTTAGATAAATTTCAGATTTTCGCTTAACTGATATCTTACCAGGAAGCCGAAAGGTGCCAGGAAGAAGAGAATTGCGAATCCTTTCATTGCTGCACTCCCGCGTTCCTCATAGGACCAATCAATATCCAAAAGTAGTTTCATTACAAGACATAAGCTTAATTAACTCAGATAAACTTATCTATAATTTCATTGTATTTCAAGGCAAAATGACTAACAAAACACAACATGCGAAGAATTAGTTTAAGCTTAACAGTGGGATAAACAAGTCAATAAAAAACTTGTAGTATCTTTATAACGGTGGCAGGGATCGACAAACCTCTCAATATCGTGGGCCACATTCACGTCTTTGTCGAGCGTAACAGAAAAGTAAATAAAACTGTATTTCTTTTAACTTAAAAAATATAGCTAAAGTTCTTCATGCAGCTAAGTTCATAGTAAATATGTTGTTTTTAGCTTTCAAACACTTTTTTTATTTAAAGTTATTGTTAGTTTTACTATACTTCAGTTATTAACATCGCCCTGGGACTTCGTCGCACGTCTCGGAAATGCCATTAACATTAATTAATGCTTTTCTTCAAACTATGCAGATGCATTGGTGTCTTTGCTGGACAGACATCTGACATAAATAATAGCAACTAATGGAAGATAGTTCAAAGTCGCATATGTGCAAATACATGGTAGTTACAAATTATTGAAATTAGGACGACATCCGTACGCTTACATCACTCCAGGTTTCGGGCTTAAAGAATGTTTAAGCGCCTGATTTTTATTGTACAGAGTGTTATTATTTATTTAGTGTTCTGTCTGACGTCAGGTCCATATGAACAGGATCCTTCCATCCTTTTCTCGGACTGGGACCTGTTCATAAACGTTCTTGGCAGATGATCCAGAAGTGGTTTGCCATTGCCTTCTTCTGTGTGAGTGTGAATGGAGTAATTGTTGGGATGCCACGGAGAAACCGGGGAAGCCCGCGGAGGAAAACTCCGTGTTGCCTAGACCACGGCCTTGTCCAACACAAGTTATAAATTCGAGCACCGCCGGGAATCTCGGGAGTTCTCATTACTAAATTTGCGAGATAAGATATTTTTTTAAACCGACAGCACGAGACGAGAATTCACTTTTCAGTAAGAGATACATCATCGTCAATATTAACAACATTTCATCGTAACATTGATACACAAAATTAGACTTCTCCTGGTAGGAAGAGACGACCAAATTGATCACGTATTGAGAGATACGAGCCGACAATTAAATATATGTATTTGTTAAGTATAAGTATGTTTGATCTTTTAGATTAGGCGACTGTAATATTAACACTGACAGGAAATTAGAATTGTTACTGAAAAGTTGAAAACGCAGACTATAAACCGCCAAGTGTTAACTTCAGGTAGAACTGCTCCGGGCAAGATGCAAAACACAATGTTCTGAGATCCAAATCTTCGTTGTATTTGGGATGAAAAGGAATTTCTGCAGCAGTGAAAGGAAGTTTTTACATAAAACGGTCAACAAAACTGTAGCAATTATAAGGGAAAATCGCCCTTATAAACCTCTTACACAATTATATTTAATATTCTTCTGAAGACGTTAACTCCGTACGTAGATGAAACTGCTGGGACTCATCAGTGTATATATCGAAGTAAAAAAATTGTATGTGTCAGATAAAGAGGGAAAAATGCGAATAAAATGGGGCAGTACACCAGAAAGTTTGTTATTCAGTTAGAAATATTGTATGTCTACAAGGCTCACATTTTCACACAAACGTGTGCAGGCATATTTTATAAATATTTCGTGTAATGTGACTGTTTCCGTTATCTTCTAGGCATGTTGTTATTTATTTTCAAGGCTCCTTACAGAATTATGTACACTACTTCAGTAGAACGGGGCTTTCCATTTGTAAGATAACGTCCCAGTCTGGATTAAATGGTTGACTGATTAATGGATTTAGAGTCGACTTAGCCTTACGTAGTTAATTTCGACTGTCATTACAGTTAAGAAATTAAACTAAGCGAAATTTTGGGTAGTCACGGTGATGAGTATGAAGATGGCTGTTTTCTGAAATGTTAATCTACCAGACTACACGGAGCATCTCAACCAAATCTTCAAAATTTTCTTAACTAAAATTTTAGTACTATTTCTTCTACAACAGATGTAATGTAATGCATCTTACTGGATAATACGTAGTGAACATTTATGTTAATAAGCTGGTAATAATTATTTTGCCGTGGTCGTCAGACCACCATTTGCAGAAACGGATACTCCACCTACTGAATTACGTCTTATTCGTTGCTGTAATGTGGGGAATTTCCTCAGCCCTTAAGGGGTAATTCCTAGGACCGATCAACAGTGGGGAAAATCCGGAAAATATTTTTGCGGAAAACACATTCCTTTGTTGTCTGATCGAGGTAAACAAGAATTATCAACAGAATTGTGCCTATATCAAATGGGACCCGTCTCTGTACCTACTTAATCTTACGTACTTGCAGCAGTCTCTCCTATGAGAATTCCCCCTTAAAGATTATCTATATAAATAACAAAACAAAGGTCAAGGTACAGTTAACTTGAACCAGAGATTACATCAGTCTTGAAGTATGATAAAGTTAAGTTTATCTTTAGCTGTCGTACTTTTAACTGCACTTGGACCGGCAACACTTGCCAACAGGTACTCATGACCTTAGCTTCTGATAACACACTTATTCTTGTTCTTCTAGTCACATAGTTAGGCCAATAAAAGACCTGTTTCGGCCCATAACAATAACAGATTTTAATGGTCGTCTTCGAACGGTAACTAATCATTAACTATTGTGCGTGACTAAAGTTTCTATTTTTCAAAGATAATCTAGCTAGTTATGCTTGTATTGTCATATTTTATTTCTGATAGGGGCCTTGTAATCCTGGGGTCTCGGGTTCGAACTTGTGTTGTGCAAGGCCGTGGTCTAGGCAACACGGAGTTTTCCTCCGGGG